GTGATTTTTATCTTGAGAGCTAACGTGTATTCTAGTTGCATTTTTGTTCTTTTGACATAAACGTCCCAGTTTGTGGAAAGAAGTGGTGTTAAAGGAAGAGAGCATAAAAACATCAGCAAACGAGGCTGCTTTCATGCCAAAGTTAGACGTCAGAAAGGCAAAATGATGGGACAGAAGATCACCGCAGTTTGGTGGGGAAATTTCCAGGGATGGAGATGAATATTTTATTTTTGTGCTGTTCCAGAGAACTGGGATAAATATTCAGGAGGGCCAACTTTGGGGAGAAGGGACTGAGAGGTTGAGGATGGGCGTCAAATCAGGCATGAAGCCACACGTACCCAAAAGAATCCACATGCATGCAAGCCAACACACACACACACACACACACACACACACACACACACACACACACACGTTTACAGATGCAAATGCAAAAACTGTTTCCAAATGACAGTTTTACACCTTGTTTCTTTTCAAATAATCACTATAAGCCATTTACGCACACCTTAACTGGTGCATGAAATGTTAAATAACAACAAATCAAACAAAAGATAAAGGTCAGTCTTAATTCTGGTAACAAGATAAGTATAATTGTCACTGATATTAAGGCATTTCTAAAGATTGTCTCTCAAATTTAAAGGAATTTGATTTTCTTCCATCAGACTGGACTGGACCATCAGACTTCCATGGACTGGAGAAAGAACAGCGAAGCGGTTTACAAGAAGGGACACAGCAGACTGAAGGACCTAAGTGTCCTCAAGAAGTGCAATGTCTGTAGCAAGATGCTGCAGATCTTCTACAAGTCTGTAGTTGAGAGTGTAATCTCTTCAGCCATCGTCTGTTGGGGTAGCAGCATCAGAAGCAGGGACCTGAAAAGGCTCAACAGCCTAATAAAAAAGGCTGGTTCTGTTCTGGGGACGACTGTGGAACCGCTGGAGGAGATGATGCAAAGAAGGATTCTCCAGAGAATCAAGAAAATGATGGACAACCCTGAGCATTCTCTTCACAAGACTGTCCGACAACGGAAGAGTGTCTTCAGTCAGAGGCTTCTTCAGTTTGGCTGCAACACTGACCGCTACTGGAGATCCTTCCTGCCAACAGCCATTGTAATATACAACAACTCTGTGATGACTTCATTATTATTATTATTCTGAGCTACTACAGCAATCAATTTCCCTCTGGGATTAAAAAAGTATTTTTGAATTGAACTGAGAAGAGTTCAACTTTGTATAGAATCCTATCTAAAATTCTACCTAAGCTCAGATGAAAACAATACACTAAAGTCATGTTCGTACCTATAAAACTCCCACTTTATGCATCACACCAATCCTGCAATGTACTCGGATGATTTTGGATCCCATACATGGTTAATACCCTATGGAAATTCTGCATATTTATATATTTATATAAACAAAAATCCCATCGCACTCTCCATGGGTGGTCTCCTTCCAACCTCGGTGTCACGTTTTGAGGATGTTAGGAACCCAGGATGACACGAGGTAGATATGATGAAAAGCAAAATCCTTTATTCTTGAAGGAGGAACAAAAGTAAATCCCGGCAGCGAGCCTAAAGTCCATACTCCAAAGCTGGAGCAACAAAGCTCACCAAGAGCACGAGCAAATATTGACAGAATACACATACAATGGACCGACACATGACAAAGACAAGACAGGGCTTAAATAGACTGGGAGACCAATTAAGGAAACAGGAAGCAGGTGTGTGGAGTGAGGGCTGGAGGGAAGGCAGGCGACAATAATTATCTCAATGGGGAAAACAGAAACAGAGGAGGGCAAATAGCTAAACACAAAACTAAACAACAATTACCTAAAGACAGAGGGAAGGGCTCACACAAACTAGCTGGAGGAGGACATAGCACATACACCCACACACGTATAACCACACACATTGAGCTGGGGACAAAGAGGCTGGAGCTGACCTGGGAGGAAAGATTAGAAAAGGTAACAACATAAGACACATAACAAAGATGCAGACAAAGGACACAAGAGGGCGCTAAGAGAACACAAAAGGGAATCCAGAGCGGGATGGAGAAACATTAGGAGACACATAAAGGAGGGGGCAGACGCAGACCATGACACTCGAGTCCTCTACCAGAGGCCTGGGAGCTTAAGGGTTCTGCGCAGTACCTCAGCTGTTCTGGACTGAGATGTCTGATGTTTTTCCTGGGATCTTCTTTAGCCACTCCTCCAGTTTGGGGATTACTGTCCCGAGTACCCCAATGACCCCGAGAACCACAGATGTCTTCACTCTCAGGGATTTCTCAAGTTCTTCTTTGAGGCCCTGGTACTTCTCTAGTTTCTTGTCTTCCTTTTTCCTGATGTTGCCCTCACTTGGTTTTACCACATCAACCACAACAGCTGTCCTCTGTTGTTTGTCCACCACCACCATGTCCGGATGGTTATGGCGCCCAACATGTGTTGATTAGACACCCTCCTGCATCTAATCAACATGGCTCCCTCACAATAGAGACTAACGTCTCATCGGGGGTAGAGAGGAGGGGTATTCAGAGTAGTTTCTGCTCGTTAAGCAACAATAGACAGGTACAGCTTATAAGCTTGACTCTCCCATATTCCAGTCAGAATTGACAAAGCTCTTCAAGAAACCAGAGAAGTCAAGTGGCCTTCTTTCAAAGTTGTCTTCAACTCCAACCTCCAGCAGAGCTTTGGCCACACCCCAAAACCAGTGGGGTCATTGAGTCCAAACAGACCTTAGTCCACTCTGCTTTTGCTGAGGCAGCTCCTGCAAGCTGTGATAGTAAGGCTGTTTGTGTTATGTGGATATCCCACTGTGAGATTTTTGGCTGTCGAACGGGATTATTCACGACAGATTTCATGTGTGAACTCTAGCAGGACTCGCTTCATCATGAACGCGCCTCCCGAAAGCATGCGTCACTAAGCAGACCGCTAACCAAAACAAAGTTCATGTACAGGCTCATCTTCCTCATAGAGGTACGTGTCTCCTTTCCCCATCTTCTGTAATTTAATTACATTTGGTCTAACTCTGGTTTAACCTGGACTATTAACAAAAATAAAAACTGGTGTGTAGTTTATAATCTGCAGTTTAAACATGAAATATAACCAAAGCTCAGAGGGGCAGAGTCTTGCTGCTGCAACGTCCCAAAGGTGTGCTTTCATTGGTCGGTTGCAGACAGGAGTCGCAGGTTTTCAAGCATGATGGTGGAATGTTGGAGGTTGTCTTTGGTCGTGAGACGCTCAAAAAGCCAGTCAAACTGGACGACCACAGATATGCAACTCACCCTCACGTTCACCGTTTTTTGTCACGATTCTGCTCAGGACGAGGGATTTGGCTAAGACGACCCAAAATCGCAGTGTGAACTAGACTTTAGTTGTGATAGTAAACCACAAACTCACTGTTGGAATACAGAGGTTAGGGGAGCCATGTTGATGAAGGAGGCCTTAAGCTTGGTTCATGCTTGGCACATTTACTTTCCGCTTGGTGATGCGGCTCGCGGATGGAACGCGCTTCACAACTTGCAGTGTTTATGGTTCATGCGGCTTGTCTCTGCGGTGAGCCAATATTCTCCCAAACTGTAGGGGGCAGCATGGAGCTCTACGGCATGTGTCCAACACTACACCATAGTAGAAGTAAAACTTACTGTTGTTTACAACATGGCATTCCAGCATTTTTAACAGCGTCCGCGTCTTTTCCGACAGTGCGAGCTATTTCTCTCCAAGAATTATTAACAACATGTTGATCACGGTGATCTCTGAGAGCTGAATCATACAAATGTCTATTTATGCACCTCTGCCATACTAGTTCTTGCCGGTCTGCCATGTTTTTCCACGTTCAACCATCCGCGTGGTTAGAAAATTTCCTAGGTGTGCGGTACGGAAAGTTTGGACTGTGCTGAGGCGTGGTGGAGGGGCGTGGTTGTTAAAATGACGCAACTTTTCCGCGCAGAGCCGTGCAAACCTCGCGGACGTGTCAAGCATAAACCAACCTTTACACGGCAGGATCGGTTTACGCAGCAAACAGCAAATTGCTGTGGGGTGAACAGTTTTTAGTGGCAGATGGGGAGTTTGTCTATGCTTTTTGTGGGTGATATAGTCCTACTCAAACTACCACTCAACTACTCAAACTATGACCTTCAACTCTTCCTGAGGAGGTTTGTAGACAAATGTGAAATGGCTTGGATGAAGATGAGAATCTCTAAACCTGAGGCCATGGTTCTACACTGGAAGTCTCCCAGAGGAGGTGTTTTGGACATTTCAGGCCAGCAAGAAGCCCCCAGGTTGGCAAATGACTTCCTGGAGGAATTATATGTCCGGACTCACCAGGGAATGCTATCGGGTCCCATCTGTGGAGCTGGCGGAGAATGTTAAGGGAGAGGGAAGTTTCGGCCTCCCTGCTGTGGCAGCTAGCTCTGTGACCCAGACCTGGGTAACACAAAAATTGAAGGATGGACAAAAAGCTCTTTGTCTTGATCCACAGGATTTAAAAGGGTCAGTCTCAACAAGGAGCTACTGATCAGATTTAGTGTTGATCTGATCATCATCACCTTTATTAAAGCGGGAGTTTTGGCTGGCGTGGAGCATGCAGGGGTGTGTTACCACACTGTCTGGTAGAAAATATATCAAAAGTGACCTTAGAGAACCAACGTTGGCCGGAGAGGTCTTAATGTAATTTCCAATCAGTGTGAAGTTCCTGGACAGCTTCCATTCTCCTCAGAAGTGGAAATCTCAGCATATTCAGCTCCAGTTCCAACCACACAACACTCAGAGTACTCATAACGAAAACAAGTGCTCCAGCCCAGACGCTACACCTTAAAGATTTCAATTCCATTGCAGGAGAAAACAACATTTTCCTTCTAAAAGAACATGACATTTGGTTAGATTTTTGCCATTTTAGAATCTGTTTTTTGTTCACTACTGTGTTGTTTTAAGTGGCTTTAGGGTTGTGTTTTGTCTGAAAGTCTGCTTGTTTGATCATAAATCTTGGTGTTTCTAGGTCAGCCATTTACCGTAGCGGCCTCAGGGTCCTCAGCAGCCTGAGCACCCGGAGCATGCCCAGGATCTTGGTTCCCGAGTTAGAGATGAGAGACACCAGGATGTCAACAACAGAAATCATCACCAACATCCCATCCAGGATATTCCAGCTGCTTCTCAGGTAAGCTTTGTCCCCAAAGAAGAAACCCAATGCCACAATCTGTCCAGAAAGAGCAAACGGTTATCTCAGGATAAATGCTGTTTGTTAACACATTCATTCTATATTGTTTCATTTAAGCCTGCCGCACACGACAGCAACCAGCATCCTGCTGAGCAGACGGCCTCGAATGACCGTTCGCTCAGCAGACACCTCGCTGTGTGCGCCTGATTTTTACTGAGTTTTCCGCCTCAAGAGACGCTGAGGTGAATATCTGACCAGTTCGATATTTTCCGCCTCACGGAGGTAAAACTCGCCGTGTGCGCATTACTGAGCTGCTGGCTGAGCTGAAATATTCTAGTGGCCAATCAAATCGCGTTCTCTGCTCACATGACGCCAAGATGGCAGCCCCATGTCAGAAACTAAACAAAACGGCGACAGCTGGAAACGGAGGAAATGCTTATACTTTTTTATTGATGAAGCATCGCTGCCGTGTACCGGCATTTCAAGTTTAGATAAGTTTGGGTACGGTGGCTGGAAAGACGGGTCAGGCAAGGAGTTTATGCCAATTTACTCCAAGAGATGCACCTGGAAGACCCAGATTCCTTCCGACAGTGCCGCCACCTGGATCCTTCGAAAGGGTAGAGTAAAAAGTGGGCTCATCGATCCATAAGGTACCGTTTAGTTTATTTTTCAGACACGCAGACTGGACAGGGGGCTGCATCTGAATACATCTTGGGTCATGTGAGCGGAGAACGTTCTTTGATTGGTCACTAGAATATTTCAGCTCAGCCAGCAGCTCAGTAGTGCGCACACGGTGAGTTTATACCCCCCATGAGGCGGAAAATATCTAACTGGTCAGATATTCACCTCCGCGTCTCTTGAGGGGGAAAACAGTGAAAATCAGAGGCACACAGCGAGGTATCTGCTGAGCAAGCAGTCATTCAAGGCTATTTGCTCAGCAGGCTGCTCTCATGTGTGGCAGGCTTAAAAATTTAAAAGATGCAGAATGGCTCTCTGTAGATACTTCATATGATTGGGTTTTTCAGTGGATCTGTTTGTTATTGAGCTACATCTTCTGAGTCGAGGCCCAATGCCCCGCATGCTCAGCTTACTTATTGTGTTGAGAGGTTGTTTTCTTGGCAGAGAAGATGAAAAACTGAAGCTCACCAAGCATCATTTCTAATTCTATTGGTCCTACTCCTTAATTATCTTTCTCTTCTGAAAAGCATTGTGTATTCTGGCAGAAAGGACAGTTTTTCTTCCTTTGTAAAGTTAATAATTCAGGTTTTGTTTTGTGTATTTGAAAAGAAGCTGCTGCAACCAAAAGTGATGACATTGTTCAAAAAAGTTAAATAAATTACAAAAAAGATCAACAAATGGAAAGTGAAATGTTTACATCTAGTCTAGTTGAATTTGACTTTTTGGTTGCATTTAGTTGCAATGGCGTCCCCATGGGGTGGCCAGGGGTGGCCACCCCTTTGAAACAGTCAAACTTCTTTTTCAAAGGAACTCCGGCTTCGAGGACGTGTGTGCCCTAATAAGCCACAAATTTTCTGTTGTACCAAACTATGCTGTTAGAAACAAACAAAACATTGCTGTTTATTTATAAATCTATAATATTTAGTACATTTTGGACATACGTAGAACATGTTTTCCGGACGCAATGCACTCTGGGTGATGACGTATATTGTTTGCACTTGGAAGAATAGTTATTGATGCTAGTGTTTGTTTACTCGCTCACCGTATTAATAATTCAGTAAAATGCCGCATTGTGCTGCTTTTGGATGTAATTTCCAGTCAGAGGGCAACAAGGGGAGTGATGCGAGTTTACAGCTTTCCCACAGGCAAGAAGAGGAGATAGCAGTGGAAAGATGCCTGTGGACGGACACAACTTCCCAAAGGTCCGCGGCTGTGCTCCCAACATTTTTTTCCTGATGCGTTTGAGGCTTATAGTCGACCACAACGACTTAAAGAGCTCACCAGAGCGGCTGGGTAGAGAAGAAAAGAGAAGGCTGAAACTAAACGCTTTAGCGACCATTTTCCCTCACAAGGAGCCTAATCGCACTCGGAGAGTCGAGAGACGCTCTCCTGAGCCGACAACCCGCTCCTGCAGCTGCCGCTTCTGTCACGCTCAGTGAACCATCGGACACGCCACTCGTCACGGATGAAGCTGAACGTTCACCTCTCCCGTCAGTAAAACAAGCAGTAAGTGTAGCAACAGTGTTCTCCACATATATAATATCTGCAACAATGATTAAAGTCGTTTCACTGAATATCCTGATCATCTATGAAGCACACGACAGCTCTGGACGCTAAAATTCTCCTAAATCATTCATAATTGAATAAGTTTGATCACACGATAGCTTACCGTTAACTTCTGCTGTCAAAAATGTGAGCACTATCCCTCTCGGTTACCATGGAGACACATTTGTCGCACACGCACCACCGGTTTTGTCCTGCTCTCGCTTCATCGCGCCCTTCTTGCTCTCCATGTTGATGCTCGTTTTGGGAAACATGGTCAGTGATGTCATCATTAATGTTTCGCTCTGGTTCAAAGTGAAAAGGCTGAACAGATGACGTGTTGATGTCGCTGAGCAGTCGCTACAGGGTCCCAAAGCCGGCCGGTGCAACCGAGGTACGACCAAATGACGTCACTACCCAGAGTGCATTGCAACGCTACAACAACGACATCCTACGAGTTAAACTATTTTTACAATAAAAAAAAAATGAAGACATTAAGAAGCTTTTTTACACTATTTTAATATAACTGATACTAACATTTATATTTTAAGAACCACAAGGTTTTGTAACCTGGGTTCCTTTTAATTTGGTCTAGGTTTGCTCACATTTTAGTCACCAATCCCACCCAAAATTGTGTAAAATTTTCAGACTAATGGCTTAAAATATAGAGGAAATTAAAAAAGAGCACAAAATGGGGCACTGCCTTTAAAAGGTAAAATAAATAAATAAATAAATAAAAGATTCAATCCATTTTAAAGCGTATTTAAAAATGTGGTAAAGTTTCAAAGTTCAGTTCAGTTCATTTTTATTTCAAACATTTCACACATGTATCATTACAAAATATAATTTCATTATTTGTTTGAAAAGGAGTAGGCAGAAGTATTTACTTATTTGTCCCTACAAGTTTTACCTCTTATTCATTTAATTTTCTTTCAATCTTAAATTAAACAAACAACATATGAAAAAAATATTTATAAAAAAAATAAAACATATGGAAAACAGAGAATGTGTAATTTTGCAGATTCACCAGTTATGGAGAAAAAAAAAGAAAAACCAAACAAACCAAAAAACACCGAAAAAGAAGCACAACAGCATAACCAGCCGCATTTACCATCCTGGGTTAACTCTGTTTTCTTCATTCTTATACTTATTTAAAATTATGTTTTTATATTTTACTATAATTTATTTCTTACTTTATACATTATTTGCGTAGTTTTGAGCTTCACCAAGTCTTGGAATTGAATAGCTTGCATTACCCCACATTATTAATTATTCTAATGGCTGTTTTCTGTCTTATAGTTATCGTCTGTATGTAACTTTTGTATGTGTTTCCCCAGACCTCTACACAGTAACTCATATATGGCAGCAGTAAAGCACAGTATAAAATGTGCAGGGCTCTCTGATCCAACATCTTCTTTGCTTTCCCCAGGATGGCAACGACCCGTGCCAATTTCCCCCGAAAGTAAAAAGCCAAAGTGAACTTGGTCCAGGTTTTTAGCAACACATTGAGTCTGAAAACGTCCAAATGTGTGGACGTTTTAACCCAAAAAATAAAAGGTTGGAAAATATACAAACAAGACACCAAGTGCTCCATTGATTTGTACCAAAAGTTGTGGTAAAGTCAAGCTGACTGGTAAGCTTTAAGCTGTGGTTCACTTGTTTAATCGATACATTTGTGGTCTTGCAAGCTGTACTTTGGGCAAATAAAGCTCAGAAATGATTGGATCAGCACCGACGAGTCTGCTGTTGCAGAGAGTGGTAGACCACGGCTCCTCAAATCGGCTCTTTTGAAAACAACCAATGCATTTTGCATTATGGGCTCACCTTTACAGCCATCTCGGTCACAAAGATTGCAGTGAAGATGTAGTTTGACAGTGTCAGAAAGATCCGCTCCTGCAAGAAAACAGAAAAGAGAGGCAGACCTGAGTTAGTTGAAGTTCTCATGATCTAAATCAGATTTGTTTCTATTTGGGGCTCCTTCCCTGCTGAGATCATAGTTTGCCTCTAATCCTATCTAGTGCACTGCTCAATAATGCATGAGGAAGCTGTTTTTCCTCATATTTTACCTCAAACATCTTTGTACAAACATTTCTGTTGCACTCTAATGAAAGCTGGCAGGCCCTAATGAGGTTTGTTTTTTATTAGTACCGGATTAAATATTTAAGTGAGGAAGCTAAGTTAAGATTTAGCCTTTAAATTATTTTCTTTAAAGATGACCTAGAACACCTTTTTTCACTATTGGAACATGTTGTTTGAGGCTCTACATGGTCTGTGTTTTTATAGTGCCTCCTTAAAGAGTAACTAAACCCCAAAATAACTTTTTTTTGCTAATTAACTGTATAATTGGGTCTTTACATATGAAATCTTTCTGTTTCTGTGCATTTTTTGACATGTTTGTGTAAACTTGATTAAATCTAGAATCTAGGTCTAAAAACGTCTTTGTGCTGCCCCCTGTGGCAGAACAGCGGCCACTGCATTTTAAGCTTGTGATTGGCTGGGGCTGGAACAATTTCATGCCATTGATACAGTCTCCTCCCACTTCCCCTCCCTCGCTCCTGGCAAGGCCCACTTTCATGGCATTTTTCAAATCTTGTCTAGGGGTGGAGTTACATTTTCTGATGGTGTGCAGTCCCTCTTTAAGGTTCTACTCCCAACACAATCAGTCATTCACACACTCAAACACACATTTACACGCTTAAATATATATATATATATATATATATATATATATATATATATATATATATATATATATATATATATATATGTATATATATATGTATGTATATATATATATATATATATATATATATATATATATATATATATATACATACATATATATATATATACATATATATATACATACATATATATATATATACATACATACATATATATATATATATATATATATATGTATATATATATATATATATGTATATATATATATGTATATATGTATATATATATATATCTATATATATATATATATATATATATATATACATATATATATATATATATATACATATATATATATATACATACATATATATATATACATACATATATATATACATATATATATATATACATACATATATATATATATATATATATATATATATATATATATATATATATATATATATATATATATATATATATGTATATATATATATATATATATATGTATATATATATATATACACAATGAGTGAGAGGGCAAATTAAACTTTGTTGGGACTCAAAATGGCCCGGGAGCCCTAATAAATGTACAAACACAACCCCAGTGTGAATCACATTTTTCATTTATTTTTCACTTCTCATCTAACATTCAGCAAATACGTGTTTTATCCAGTTTTTACTTGTTGCTCAAGCCCTTAAAGGCAGATGAAAAAAGGTTATTTTAAGTTTTTTTGTTAATTAACCAGAAAGAAAAAAAAAGCAGAATTTTTAGAAGAAAAACTGTTTTGCTGTTTGTTGGATGAGAGGTAGGAAAGAAAAAAAATGTAGAAACATGCAGCAAAAAACTTATTTTGCCTTTCAGGGCTTCCGTAGCTTTTCCTTACCACTCGGCCAGGACATGAATAATAAATGAACTCTATGACTTCCTGAAGCTAGTAACTCTGAGTACTAAAAGGTGTGTGTGTGTGTGTGTGTGTGTGTGTGTGTGTGTGTGTGTGTGTGTGTGTGTGTGTGTGTGTGTGTGTGTGTGTGTGTGTGTGTGTGTGTGTGTGTGAGAGAGAGAGAGAGAGAGAGAGAGAGACTCAAATGAGGAAATTGCAATATATTCTTGACAATTTTACAAAAACATCACTGAGACAGGAATACTGCAGTGATGTCACTGCAGACGTTTGCAAATACAACGTATTAGTTGTGTTTGTAGATCCAGCACCTGGATGGTTTTCATCAGGAGGGTCCAACCCTGCTCTTCAAGGACCACCATACTGCATGTTTTAGAGTTTCTCAGCTTCTACACAGCTGATTACGATCAGTGGGTGATCGACAGGCTTATACAGCGCTTGATGACCTGCTGAAAAGGTCATTCAAACACTGAATCAGGAATATTTGAATGGAGAAAAAAGGCTAAAACAGGACATCAGTGATGAGAATAATGGTGTTACTAACTGAGCTAGTTTGTCAGTGACACCATAATCAAATGTATTATTTTCACCATTTTGACAAGCTGTTTCTGTTGCCGATTAGAAAATGCCGTGCTGGTGTGTTACTATGTCACAGCAGAAATGTGTGTTGAAGCAGTCGACATCTGACTGGAAGCTACAGAGCCAGACCTTTACATCCAAGCTCATCACATCCGGTGAGCAGAGAGGAAGACGAGACCATGGGACTTCCCATATAAGGAAGTTCCACTCACCCGTTCACCACTCAGATGCAAGTTCATTCATTTGTTGTCACCATCTCTGATCTTCCTAAATCATCATCCAGTCTTCCAAATGGAACCAGTAAGTGTTCCTGATCCATAAAATTAATGCAACAGTTACCTTTCTTGGTAATTAGTTACTTTTATAAGACTCTGTTACTTTTTTGAAGAAGTAATTTTCTAAGTTGTGCCACATCTCTAAACTCCCAGTCGTCTGTTGTTCTAGGCAGCGTGCTTCTGCGCTGCACGTCCAAGAAGGAGATGATGGGAGCTTTTTTACGCAGCTCTGCCGGTGCTGAGGATAGAAAACAAGCTCGCTATTAAAAGCCTGAAGAGACACGACCTCGTCCTGTCTCAAGACGTCTTGCTATGTGTGTGGGTGGCTGCCTTTCCCACGGCCTCCGACTACCACCCAACAGAGTCACATGGCCACACAGAGGACAAACTCTGGGAACGTCAAACAATGACATCACTGGAAATTCTTCCGTGGAGAGCTCCAAATTCCAGTCTTCACAGCAGCCATTCCTTTTTTTACTCAGACTGAATATCTTAAAGCGGATTCCAAGACTCAGTTCAGACAAAATTACGTCAAACTCCGTGTTTGGTACAAGAGTTGTGTCAATCTGTTCTTTAGAAAACGTTTAACACTGAGTCAGTTTGAAGGCAGGTTTCCCTGAGATGTTCTGATGATTGTTTTCCATCCATTATCTGTGCCACCTCATCCTCAGACGGGTGGAGGGGAGCTTTTGTCCAAGTCATCAGGTGCTGGGGACACCCTGGACAGGTCTCCGGGTCATCTTCACAGGGACACAGCCTAGTAATCAGTAATCAGAGTATCCAGACAACACCCACATATAACAGACTTACTCCATGTAATAAAGTCAGTTACAATAGACATCACACCAAAATCTCTAAAACTGAGTAAACACATTCATCCAGAGTAACTCAGGTTGTTCTAGCAGGGTAAACAAGAATTAAAGGGAACGAGTTGAAAGAAAACAATAACAAAAATGTGTTATAATTTGTAAATTATTTGTAAAACTATTACATTCATTTACGAATCAGTGCTGCATTATTAATTCTAAATCACTGCAAATGAGTTGAGCGAGTCGCCGTATGTGCTGCATGAACATCATTACCAGGAACAGGAGGGGTTCTTCATAGGACAGAAATTACAAGGAACATGCGTTAATTGCTTCAGAGAAATAAAGTTTTTAGATGAAATAATAATGATATTTAACCCTTTGATGCATGAATTATGAAATCTTCAGCCATGATTTTTTTAACAATTTTTTTCATTCATCTTTAGGTGTGAATGAAACAAATTTCAACAAATATTTTTTGTAAAATTTTATAATTTACAAATAATTTATTACAGGTCCACCTTAGTGGACCACGTGCATTCTGAACATGAAATATGTTGGCTTGACTTACTGAAGTCCAAATGGAGGGGCTCAAATACAATAAAGTCTTCAACAGCTGTGCTTAATAGCAAAAACAAATAAATAACAATTTTGAGTACCTGTCCACTGTAGTGACCATTATGCACCAAAGGGTTAAAAAAGAGCATGGTGTGGGCTCACAGAGTTATTCACTAAAGGGAAAGTGCAAAAGAACTCAACTACAAAACTCAAGGATCTCAACAACTACAAAAGAAATCTATTTCCCTCTGTGATTAATAAAGTATTTCTGAATTGAATTGAACAGAAAGAGCAATAAAAACTAAAACCTAAAAAACGATTTTCAAATATTTCGTCATCGTCTTCCTCCGCTTATCCGGATCCGGGTCGCGGGGGCAGCATCCCAACTAGGGAGCTCCAGACCGTCCTCTCCCCGGCCTTGTCCACCAGCTCCTCCGGCAGGACCCCAAGGCGTTCCCGGACCAGATTGAAGATGTAACCTCTCCAACGTGTCCTGGGTCGACCCGGGGGCCTCCTGCCGGCAGGACATGCTTGAAACACCTCCCCGGAAAGGCGTCCAGGAGGCATCCTGACCAGATGCCCAAACCACCTCAACTAACTCCTTTCGATCCGGAGGAGCAGCGGTTCTACTCCGAGTCCCTCCCGGATGTCCGAGCTCCTCACCCTATCTCTAAGGCTGAGCCCGGCCACCCTACGGAGGAAACTAATTTCGGCCGCTTGTATCCGCGATCTCGTTCTTTCGGTCATTACCCAAAGCTCATGACCATAGGTGAGGATTGGGACGTAGATCGACCGGTAAATCGAGAGCCTGGCTTTATGGCTCAGCTCCCTCTTCACCACGACAGATCGGCTCAGCGTCCGCATCACTGCAGACGCCGAACCAATCCGCCTATCGATCTCCCGATCCCTCCTACCCTCACTCGTGAACAAGACCCCGAGATACTTAAACTCCTCCACTTGAGGTAGGACCTCTCTCCCGACCCGGAGTTGGCATGCCACCCTTTTCCGGTCGAGAACCATGGTCTCAGATTTGGAGGTGCTGATCCTCATCCCAGCCGCTTCACACTCGGCCGCGAACCTACCCA